TGTACCAATCATAGGCAGTGCTCTTGGACACAGTGTCCGGGCCAAACGCGGTATTGATGTCAGCGATGGAATTGGCTGCCTTCTTCTCGATTCGGAAGTCATAAAGAAGAAGCAGGCGAACTTGCTCCTTAGTAAGAGGGTAGGGCTGGTTCATGGCTGGAGAACACCAGGGCTGTAATAATATACGGTTGTATGCCGAAGGACAAGACCTACTTATAAACACACGCAGAACATTCTAGCATGCTCTGGAAAAAAATTGTACTGGATATTCAAGAAATTCCGAGAACTTTCTTTCCAATCAGATAATCCCAAGAACAATCCTCATGAAATCTCATAAAACGCAGGAATAAGTCACCTTATGAAATTTATTTTTACGAGGGATCGAATACCGATTTCACAGATGACGTCAGGAGTAGGCGGAATGATTCCCTTAATCTCTCCTTATCGGACATCGAGATTGCCGGAAGCCCAGTGCCTAGTACGTCCACGCCAAAATCTTCTAGAACCAAAGGTGGCTTGTTGAATATAGTCTTTGAATGTTGTTTTTCGGGCTTGGATGTGTATGGAGAGATTTTGAACGTTCCAGAGAGGGGGTTCAGGACTGGACGAGACGATACCCTGAGTTGTTCTGAATCAGATGTCGAGGTCGCTGGAAGCCCAATCCCCAGTCTGTCCACGCCCATGACAATTCGAACAAAGGGTGAATATTTTGGTGCAGTCTTTCAATATTATAAGTGTGGGATCTGCATGTCTAAATTTCTAACTTTTCAGGTCTGGAAGTCAGGAGAACACTTGACGATTCCCTGAGTTGTTTGGTATCAGATGTCGAGATTGCCGGAAGTCCATCGTCCAGTCTGTCCATGCCCAAGGCCTCTCGAGATAGTGAGCAGCTGAAATTTAGCTATTGAGTGACTTTTGAGAACATTGTTCGTCGTGCATGAACCTTAGGTTTTAACGATGCCCTGTCTAATGTGTGCATTTCTTCCCCCAAATGTGGATGCAGATCTATCAGGCATTGATAAATTATCCGATCTTGCAGCAGAATTGACAGGGGAGACGTTGACTGTCAGTAGTCCCATTCCTTCCCCCGAGATGGGATTCATGGACTTGCAGGAATCGCACGCATTGCATACCCTTAGTGATGGCTTCGACTCCTCCTTTCACAGTGAGTCAATATGACATCATCACCACTGTAATCAGTCACCCTTAAAAAAAAAAAGAAACCTGTTTATTTATTTCTGAGATTCATACGAGAATCCTCGTAATGCCGCCAGGTTTGGGGAAAATAATAAGTGCTGTATTGGAAGGATACTTAGTGTTGAATACCTATTCTTCAGCCTTGGGCTGTGCAACCTTTATTGGCAGTGGGCCACATGAAAATGTCTGACTCTTCACGCGAGTCATAGAAGAAAGAAAAGACTCCCCTCTTGTGCCCTTATGGCATATTAAGGCATAAGGTTGCACTGATTTGTAGTCGAGCAGATATCATTTGGTACACTTTTCATTTCACATATCATTTTGACGTTACGCATTGCCCCATCAAACATATTGCGAATTTGTTCTTCATTCCAAATTTAAATTAAGTGTTGAATGTCATCATTTCATACGCCCGCCATCATGAAAGATGTACTTGCTCACTCCGAAAAGTTGAAAATAAGAGAGAACCTGGGAATGCATGAAAGCCATGACAAAGTTCAGCCATGACTAGTTTTCCAGCCTCCTGGAGAAAAAACCCACCTATTCGCTGGTCCAGTTTTTGCCAGGTCGCAGCGGCTGGCTGTGCCGTTCAGACACCATTAATTCACGGGAGTTTCCTGGGTCGTGCCTGAATTGGATTATTGACAGACGACCCTCACCTTTCCCCCGCTCTCAGGAAATTCCAACGCCCTTTTCATTGAGAACTTCCTTCTTCGGGCCATTTCCACCAGCGTCAGCGTGAACAATAATTAGGGGAAAGAGGTAAAAGGACAAACTGTTTATTTATAGTTACTGAATGATGATCAAAGTTGTGATGGGTCTTATTTATTATTATTATTCACTAAGGTACTTATTTTATTTGTTATTCCATTGCCCATTACTGGGCAGCAAGAAGCAGCTCCACGGGTCGTGGATTGCATATCCCTGCTCTAGCCCCACTGTGGCTGGTGATTTGTATTAGGTTGTTGCAAAAGTCCTGTCGGTATTGACAACTTTATTTTCTCAACTTTAGAGCTTTGCAACAAGCGAGGCCTAATCGACCACATATTCGCCATAGTTGCAGATGACCTTCGTGCATCTTCTGGGCAGGTCATGGATGCCTTCTCTATAGAAGGACTTGGGCTTCGAGGCGAAGAAGTCTGCAAGGCCGGTTTCCATGGCCTGTCGATTGGTGAAGCTCCTCCCAGGCAGGTGATTTTTCAGCGATCGGAATAGATGATAGTCAGAAGGGGCAAGATCCGGGGAGTAAGGTGGGTGACAGATCACTTCCCAGCCGTACCCCTGTACCGTGCTGCGGGTGACGTTCGCGACGTGTGGGCGCGCGTTATCGTGTTGGAAAAACACGTGGCCTGCCCAGTAAGGATCGGAGTCCAGTTTCGCTTTGAGATTTGCCAGCTGAGTGGTGTAAATGCGGGCAGTGACCGTTGAGTTCTCTGGAAGCAGCTCCCAGTACTCAACTCCTCGTTCGCTCCACCAGATGCACAGCAACAGCTTCTTCGGGTGCAGACTGCCTTTTGGCTGTACTGGAGGCTTGGAACCGGAGCGCAGCCAGTGGTGTTTCCTCTTGGGAGTATCGTAGAGGACCCACGACTCATCCCCAGTAATGAGGTGATCGAGCCAAGCATGTGTCCGGCGCTTCGTCAAGAGTTCGGTGGCACAGTCGACCCGCCTGTCCTTGTTCGCCTGTGTAAGGTCGTGGGGCACATAACGGGCGAGCATATTCACTAAGCCGAGCTTGTCCAGGCCACGGGATACGGTGGAATAGTGGCAGGAGAGACTGCTTGCCGATCCGCGTGTGGTCTGCTGGCTGTTGCTCTCCAGCTCTGCTTTCAGGGCATCAGAATCCAACTCCGTCGGGCGTCCGGACCGCGGTCTGTCTTCAACGTCGTAGTCTCCAGAAGAGAATTTGGCAAACCATCGTTCTACCGTGCGAAGACTTATGATGTCTCCGCCATAAACTGCGCACACTCGGCGATGAGCTTCCGTAGCTCCGACGCGAGAGTGGAAGTGGAAGAGAATGCAGTGACGGAGATGGATCTGCGTTGGCGTGAATTTCTCAGAGGCCATGAGAGATGATGGGATGAGTGAGATACAACAGACTGTCCTTATATACCCATACCTACCACCCACTCGCCAGGAATTGTCAAAGCCTGGAAGTCTTATTAGAACATGTTACATTCAACACTGACAGGACTTTTGCAACAGATGGGTGGGTGAAACTTGTTACTTTAATTTCGCGGCCTGTATTCAGCATTCTGCATAAGTAAATTCTATGGAAAAGGAAATTTGCTACTCTTTAGACCGATGAAACACAAGGCCACTATCACGTGCATTCTCAAATTTATAGTCAATACCGTATTGCCTTAAATACTGCAAGGGTCGAAGCATCATGAATTAATAAAATCGATAAATGAGGCTGCTGGAACGGTTGTAGCATGGGACATCCCGAATCCATTGGTTTAGGCCCTATTTTTTAAAATGAAACATGAGCATCCCATTCAAGACCAAAAGAAGAAACCTGAGCGGTGGGGTATCCCTAGCTGAGGAAGAGAAAATTGTCTGGAATTCCTATCTATCTATCTGTCCTTCCTGATCGGATTCATGTCTTAACGAGATGGGGATTGAGACAAGGTCATAGGGAATCTGTGAGATAGGTGCAAAGAAGCATTAGACTGTTTTGGGGCTAGGGATTCGTAACCTGTTATATTATTTGTTATAGCATATTATTTGTTATATGGAAAGATGTGATATCTTTGAGAAATCAGAAAGAATATGAAATTCGAAAACATTCCCCTTCAGGTTCGATGAATGGGCCTATAGACCAATCGACGCCAAGGAAGAGTCAAAGGATGAGGAGTGATTACCGCTTCGAATGCTGCATTGGGATAATGGCAACAAGAGACCTACTAGACACAGAATGCGAAATGAAGGAGATGTCAGCCAAGGAAAAGGAGACATTCTTGGCTCGTTTGATTCAAGAAAATTCATCATGCCATCGACAGACTGTGTCTTACAAAGGAGCTAGTCTTTGCATAGATTGCTTCATTAATTTATTTTCTCTCCCGAAGGAACAACGGGAAAAGCTTCGGAGAAGGAAGAAGTCTGCAGTTCCCAAACGCATCAGGACTTCTCCCAAAGTGAAAGTTGCAGAGGCCTGGATGACTAACTTTCTGCGATGGCACGGACAGCATTCACCCTGCTCTACTAAGATTATCTACGTTCAAGGATACAACGCGAAGGAGCTCCATCAGCTGATGATATGCAGTCTCTCCAAAGGCATCCCTAAGGAAAACCTCCTTCATTACACGTCATTCACAGTGCTTCTGAAGAAAACGAAAGTCTCTTTCGGAAAGGTGGGATGATGATGATTTATGATTTTTTCTTGCATTCCTGTGAACTTAGTTGTTCCTTATGCCTTGTTGGGTGTGCTAACATATTTTACTTCTTTTTCTGCTGCAGCCCAATGCTTTTCAAGTTGCAGTACGTGTACTAACTTGAAGGACAGGAAAATGTCGAGAGAGGCAAGAAAGAAAGCACATCGTCTCCACCAAGAACATTTGAGAATTGCCAAGTATATCAATAAATAAAACTGACTGCATAAATGACTGCATAAAAGAATGTCATCACAGCCACTCATGAGCGACTTCAAGGAGCCTATCATCTATCAGCATGGAGCATTATATTTTCTTATCTGTTTCTTGCCACCTTGTGTTCTAGCTCATGGGCGTAGTGTGCATAAAAAAGTGTGGGGGGCACAGGAACTCTGGGATACTGTTATCATGCATTTAATTGGTCCTTCCCTATTTTTTTTTGTTGCTTATTTTCTTGAAAGTGAGGAGAGGGGGAGGGAGGCAGTGTCCCCTTGATCCATCGATGCTATGCTGCTGTTCTAGCTCGACTAATTTATCAGATCTTTAATGCCGACAACATAAGAAAGACTTCAGGATCAATCAACTTGTTTTTGCCTTTCTTCACAGAATTCAGCGCCTTACCTATCAAAGGCACAGACTCATGGCTCTTGAAGGTGAGGAATGGATGACAATTGTTGTGGATGGTATGGATCAA